AGGACCCTTTCCTCCGTTTTATGAGCTGTGGAAAAGAAGTTCCTGTAAAATAGTCTAATAGGGGGTACAGGTGTTGTGTTAGTTGTCTCTTCAGAGGTTGCATGGCGTTTCACCTTCCTTCTTATGATGTCTTCAACGAAACCATTGGAGAAGCCGTTGTTGACTAGGACCTGCCTTACCCTACAGAGTTCTTCATCGACTTGCTTCCATCCTGAGCTGTGGCTGAGAGCACGGTCGACATAACCGTTAACGACACTCCTCTTGTACCTGTCTGGGCAGTCACTGTTGGCATTGAGGCACATTCCTATGTTTGTTTCCTTAGTGTAGACTGCAGTGTGGAAACCTTCGCTCCTTTCCATGACTGTTACATCTAGAAAGGGCAGCTTCCCATCCTTCTCCATCTCATAAGTGAAACGCAACACAGAATTCCGCTCAAATCCCTCCTTCAGCTCCTGCAGATGTTTGACATCAGGTACCTGTGTAAAAATGTCGTCAACATACCTGCAGTATATCGGGAAAGGGCCCTGAAAGATATTGTTGATAGGAACGTTATCCCTACAGATAAAAATCAGAAAATACAATTGACGATTTACTATAAAACCAAAAAAACGGCCAATTTACTCATGAAAAACTCCCCAGACACCAAGCAGAACGCCTTGAAGGAAACCAACGTCGTCTATGCCTTTAAATGCCCACTTGGGGACTGTATGCCCCCAAAAAATCAATATATAGGCAAGACAACAACGTCTCTTTCCAGGCGATTAACAATGCATAAACAACAGGGCTCCATCAAGGAACATATAATCTCTTCTCACAACCAGACCATCACCAGAGAAATCTTAACAAACAACACAGAAATCATCGATAGATACAGCGATAACAGGCGGCTTGACATAAGCGAGGCTGATGTCGAGCCTCTTGCTAATTATTAAACTTACCTTACGAGCTGCCAATTATTAATCTTACCTTTTCGGTCATTTTCAACAACATATGTTTACAAGAAAGACTGCTACCAATATATATATATATATATATATATATATATATATATATATATATATATATATATATATATATATATATATATATATATATATATATATATATATATATATATATATATATATATATATATATATATATATATATATATATATATATATATATATATATATATATATATATATATATATATATATATATATATATATATATATTGTCGGGGTTCCTCGGGTGAGCAACAGTACACTCAAGGTCACTCACCGTAGCCCATCGGGTCTTCACTCTATCCTCGCGGCGCCACTGTACGCCAGGAGAGTATCCCAGTCAATCCCAACCGGCCTCTGATCGAGAAGGAGTGGGAACACAACTTGTTCACTTAACTGTTGTATGCCCGCCCCGTCATGGGCTCTACTACTAACCACAAGGTCGCCAACTGGTGTTTTCGGTGTCCAGTAACACGTCAGTGGGTTTGTTGAATTGTGGTAACAGTGGCAAGGACACACTCAATAGATCTGATATCAGGCAGGTATTTACTTCTATCACGATCTGCTGTCAGGTATTATATAGCCACAAGAAATATGGAGGGGATGATGGAAACACCAATGTACTTTGTATTTTACTTAAAACTCATTCAAAGACACCATAAGATTATATCAATAAGCAAACAGCTGTTTCAGGCGGGAGCCGCTCATTCTCACACATATAATATGAACTCACCAAGCCGGCAACACTCCCCCTCTCGTCAATGTCAAAATCAGCTGGGCGACTACCCCCGCGCGAATGTCACTTTATCTGTTTGCTTGTTTTCCTGGCGTCACGCGCTCTGTTTCTTTAAGTTCTCAAAGATCACTAGAAGTTCGAACACACAATATTTGCAACAATAGCACGTAAATACTTCGCTACAGTGATCTTGTGCTCAATCAAACATTTCTATATTAAAGGTGACAACAATTCACTGTCATGGTATTACACACTGCCCTTCACTTAATGATAACGTGTGCAAGTATATATCACTGGAGTTCTCAGTAATTCCTTCCGTGGGCGATAACACAATTAATCACTGCACACATGAATGATTATTCAATACACGAGCATAGACATATATAATGATAATAACATAGTTACTGGGCACATAGCCTAACTCCCAAATACTGGCATGTTTATATATATATATATATTCTCTCACTATATGATGATATTAAAGTCTCATTAAAGACATTATCCACACAGTAAATTCATCAATTACTCCGGGTGCCTGCATACACCAATAATAGTAATAAATCCCGTGGGTACTCTATGTAGTACCACTCTGCACACTAGTGCCTTACTGTGACATAGGTGAGCCTTGCTCACGACATACAAAATACTCAGGCTAAATAATATAGCTGACTAAAGGGGAATTGGGAGGGAAACTAGAATCACCTACTTCCACCTATCCTCCGATGAGAGTTGAGTTGTAGCTCCTGGTCCTGGCTCCTGCCTCGTGTAGGGAACGCCCCCACACACACACACTGTCGTGTCCTCCAGGAACTCAAACAACGTCCCACCGTAAGCGCGTCGTCTCCGTACCTTTTCACTGCAGGTCCGTGCTCCTCCTCGACTTCTTGTAGGGTTGGAGTCGGTCTCCCGGCCGTCGCCTTCTCATCCCAGCTACGGCTGCCCGCCTACGTCTCGGCTGCAGTCGTTCGGATTCCTGAATAGTTTTCTTCTTCCACTGCTTCCCAGTGGCTCGGTTCAGCCACTACGCCGTCACAAACGGGTGAACTGCCTCAGACGTCGCATATGTCACTGCAGAGACTTCACTTCTTCTTGCACAGTACCTGTCCTGGAGCACTTGTTGCTCAATATCCCGTCGATTCCCTCTCTGGTCCAACACATGAACGAAGGAAGACCTCACAGAGTACTGGCAGACTTCGGGTGACGCGTAAAATCCACGGGAGCGGGAAACAACTGTCAAACTGACAGGACCAATCTTCGCACGTCCAACAACCTTGGCGTGTCGTGTCAGACTGATTCCCTCACGGAGGATTGGCTCAGCAACTACGTCATCACTGGAGCTATCAGCTGTTGCATACGTCGCTGCCTAGACTCCACTCTTGCACAACACCTGTTCCTGGAGCACTTGTTGCTCAATATTCTGTCAATTCTTTCTCTGGTCCAACACATGAACGAAGGAAGACCCCACAGGTGATGGCAGACCACAGGTGATGCGTAAGTCCTCCGGAGTCGGGGTAAACTGTCCAACTGACAGGACCCCCCAGCACACGTCCGACCTTCTTGACGTGCTGTCTTAGACTGATGGCGCCAGCGCGGCGCGCTGACCGGACCCCCCTTCCTTCGTGACGTCATATTCGCCACGGGAGGTTTTCATTGGCTCCCTGTGCCACGTCGCTGTCGGTGACCAATCTGGTGTCACTGACGTCACACAGTTTTGGCGGCAAAACAGAAGAGCCAGCGCCATATTGGCTTCCTAAAGGGCCTAAACCACAGCCCAAAACACTCTTCTTTTATAAATTTCTCGGCACTCCGAGAACACTACATTCTCCCACATATATCAAACTGATGCCTGCGACGTAGAGAACGCTCGGGTAAAGTGGACATGACTCTTACTGCAGGCGTGGGAGAAATATAAGGGGGGGAACACCGTCACAATATATATATATATATATATATATATATATATATATATATATATATATATATATATATATATATATATATTTTTACGAAAAAATAGCTATTAGCACTATAGGCCCACTGTTAGTGTCCTTTTGCAACGCGGGTGCTGCAGGAGGGGTTAAGGGCTGCTAATCAACGTGGTGCAAAACCTTCATTCAATGATCAATGAGCCACTTGGCCTCAAGTCTGGCAATGTAAATGGGTCTAGTGTGAAGTGAAAATCTGCATAAAATCTACACGACACCGCTTTATATACAACATTATCTATACACATACACACATGTCCACAACTAGTAACAATCAATTTAGTCAAAGCACAAGTCAAGCAGCTAGATGTAACTCCGTGAAGATCACCTGCTGACATTGGTACACCAGGCAGCTTATGATTGGCTGTAAAGTTATGAACATGGTGGGTAGTGACGTTACATAACCAGAGTGGGGTCAAGTCTCAGTATAGGCAACAATAACAAGTCAAAGTCTTCTCTCTTGCCTTCAAAAAACTAAGTCCCCACTGGACTAACAAATGGCAATGTCTAAACTCTTCGCTAAATTCGGAGCGAAGTCCACAATGACTGGAAAAGTGACAAAGTCAATTACTCTACGGAAGTAGAAGTCCACAATGGCTTGACAAATGGCAAAGTCAATTAGTTGTCTTCTAAACGTTAGAGTTACAATCTCTGCAAATGTGGCAGAGTCTGAAATCTCTTCTCATAAGTCTAAGTCTTCAAACCAGGAATTTATCTAAGTCCACAAACTCCTCACCAGAGGCCATGTCCAATAATGACAATATCCCCAAACGGTTCAAATACAAGTATAAGTCACCTACCACAAAGTTACAAATATATAATCGTGAAAACATTATGATAACTGATCCATACCAAAAATCCTCTTTCTTACTTCTGGGAAGAAGCCAATATATGTAAATAGATATAAATATGAACAAAACCCAGAGCACACACACACACACACACACGTGCGTCCTGCTCCACTACCCGCGACCAGTGAGTCTCCCTGTCTGCTCACACCTGGGTCAACCAACTTCCAACTGAGGTGGCAACTCTGACTGACACACTGGCAAGGACAAGGGCGGGGTAGACGAGGTGTTATCACAGCTGCGCACCAACCGGCAACACACAGTTAACACCTACTAATAACACATCATAATATAACATAATAACATATAAAACAATAACATAAAGTAGCATACACGTGTATATAATGGCATTTAAATATAGGTGGCCAATATTTATGTTAATAATGGTGGCCCTCAAGTAAATTGAGGTATATATTCTAAATATTATGCGCTTATCCTACAACAGGAGAACGGCCTGGAGAATGGCTTCGTGGTGTCCATGGTCCCCATCCCGCCAGAGGAGCTGCCGGAGGACACCTCGCATCCAGCAGAAGCGACGTCAACACAGCCAGCAGGAGCGACGTCAACACATCCAGCAGAAGCGACGTCAACACATCCAGCAGGAGCGATGTCAACACAGCCAGCAGGAGCGACGTCAACACAGCCAGCAGGAGCGATGTCAGTGTACCCGGAGGTGCAGACAGCGACACAGCCGGACGCGTGTACGAACGAACTGCTGTACAAGGTTGACGACGTTCCTCCCTGGTACATGTGCATCTTTCTCGGCCTCCAGGTAACTCAACTATTGGCACTGGCTGCTAGTACTACTGGCTGGTAGTATTACTGGCTCCTAGTACTACTGGCTGGTAGTATTACTGGCTGCTAGTACTACTGGCTGCTAGTACTACTGGCTGCTAGTACTACTGGCTGCTATTTTTTTTTTTTTTTGCAAGGATATTCGTGCGCAGGCCCTAAGCCTCTGGCTGGCCCACTAAGTGTGAGTATTTATGACTCGTATGGTCGCTTCAGTAAGATTTTGTCATATGTGTTTAACAACTTCTTCTGCTCTGTTGAATCTAAGTTGAAATCTTAATGGGTTTGTAACTGTGCACTGTGTTAGATAATGTTCCAGTGGTCTGTCGGGCATTTCTCCACAGTGTTGACATTTCCTCTCATCTTCCGGAACCTGTAAGCCTATTTCCCATGCACATGGGTATCCAAGCCTGATGCGATGTAAGTGTACTTCTGTTGCTCTACTGCTCCCTTTCGTCAAACTAAGTGGTTCGTAGTTGGTTGAATTCTTGTACCAACCCGCAGATCCTGATGTTGCAACTGCTGTGTTGTGGTCAATGTACATCTTTTGCATTGCTCTATTTCTAATATCTTTCTTAATCTGTGATAGACTCTGTGGTATGTAAATGTCTTCATTTCTTCTCTTAGTTGCAATTTTTGCAGCTTCGTCTGCAATGTCATTTCCTTTTATTCCCACATGATTTGGCACCCAGTTAATAAGTACTAGGCGGCATTGATGTTTGAGTGTTTGCATTAATGATATGACATTTGTGATCAGATGGATGTTGTCACATATGTGTTCTTGTTGCAAGGTTTCAATGGCGGTTCTCGAATCTGCATGTATGATAACATGTTGTTGATGTTCAGCAAGAGCATGTTCCAAAGCCTTTTGAATGGCTAGCATCTCTGTTTGTAAAGTCGAACACCCATTTGAGAGCCTCCAACTATTTACAGAGTTTCCTGCTTTAACTGCAGCTCCGGTTTCTTGTCCCTGCTGGTCTACTGATCCATCTGTGAAGTAAGTGAAGCTGTCGGATGCCAAGTTTGCTTCTTTATGCATCAGAACAATAATAGTAGTAGTAGGCATCCATCAGTCTCAGGAGACTGAAGTTACGCTCTGGTTTTGGTCTGGAGTGACCTCTCCAGGGTACAAAGCCAGGATAGGTTGATACAGGGGAGAAGTTGTCACTCGTGCAATAGGTCCCCTCTCTCCACGGTACCGAAAGTCTCCACTGGAAAGGCTAATATTACGTAGCAGATGAGGATTAGTCTGGTTCTTTTCTTCCTTCAAGAGCCATAATCTTAAAGTCTGCTGGTAAAGATTCCCAAGAGCTTGCATAACAGTCTGCATGTATTTCATCGACACCCCCTATCAGTGACTGTGTTTGTTATATCGAATGTATTGATGGTGTTTATCACACAATGGGTCCACCTGTTGCTATTGGAGGCTCTTCTGTCCCGAGTTGGTGCGCTATTGATTATATTTTTAAGTAAACTGAATCTAGGTCTAGTCAATATCTTGGTCAGCATGCACGCAGCAATCCCTTTTACCCTTATTTCAATCGACGTTAGCTTGGTTTCTAGTCTTAGGTTCAGTATTTTAGTCCATCTGGGAGCTCCTGTTATGACTCGCAATGCATCGTTTTGAAGAACCTCAACGTTTGCCCACTGACCAGGAGCAAGAGTGAGAAGGGTGACTGCATAATCAACTAGGGAACTAAAGGTGTGATTGAAAAAAATTCTTAACACTTTGTGTCCTGCTCCTAGACGGGGCCCTGTGATTGCTCTCATTATATTCAGTCGTGATTTTGCTTTCGAAATTCAGATATTGAATTTGCTTGTTGAATGTCATTTTAGAATCTATCCACGTTTTGAGATATTGATATTGTGTAACCCACTGAAGGTTAAAGTCTTGAATGCGTAGGTGCCTGTCTGGAGTGTTGCCGCCTAGTCTCATAACCTTCGACTTCTGTGCAGATATTTTAAGCCCTAAAATTCTGCATTCAGATGTTACTTTATCTAACGCCTCTTGTGCTTTATTTAGAAGTGAAGGACCTGTAATGACTAATGCTATATCATCAGCATAGCTTAGCAATTTAACCCCTTCTGTAAATGTCATGGTAACAAGGTTTTCCATAAGGATGTTAAAAAGACTAGGACTGAGGACTCCTCCTTGTGGAGTCCCATTCTCATGCAAGTGGTAGTCCGACACTTGTCCTTGCAACTTTACTCTGGCATATCTGTGACTCCCAGCTGCTACTACTACTGGTTGCTAGTTGTACTGGCTGCTAGTACTACTGGTTGCTAGTTGTACTGGCTGCTAGTACTACTGGTTGCTAGTACTACTGGTTGCTAGTACTACTGGTTGCTAGTTGTACTGGTTGCTAGTTGTACTGGCTGCTAGTACTACTGGTTGCTAGTACTACTGGCTGCTAGTACTACTGGTTGCTAGTACTACTGGCTGCTAGTACTACTGGCTGCTAGTACTACTGGTTGCTAGTACTACTGGCTGCTAGTACTACTGGTTGCTAGTACTAGTGGCTACTATAACTACTGGCTACTAGTGCTAGTGGCTACTAGTGCTAGTGGCTACTATAACTACTGGCTACTAGTGCTAGTGGCTACTATAACTACTGGCTACTAGTGCTAGTGGCTACTAGTGCTAGTGGCTACTAGTGCTAGTGGCTACTAGTGCTAGTGGCTACTATAAGTACTGGCTACTAGTGCTAGTGGCTACTAGTGCTAGTGGCTACTATAACTACTGGCTACTAGTGCTAGTGGCTACTAGTGCTAGTGGCTACTATAACTACTGGCTACTAGTGCTAGTGGCTACTAGTGCTAGTGGCTACTATAACTACTGGCTACTAGTGCTAGTGGCTACTAGTGCTAGTGGCTACTATAACTACTGGCTACTAGTACTAGTGGCTACTATAACTACTGGCTACTAGTACTAGTGGCTACTAGTGCTAGTGGCTACTATACCTACTGGCTACTAGTACTAGTGGCTACTATAACTACTGGCTACTAGTACTAGTGGCTACTATAACTACTGGCTGCTAGTACTAGTGGCTACTATAACTACTGGCTACTAGTACTAGTGGCTACTAGTGCTAGTGGCTACTATAACTACTGGCTACTAGTACTAGTGGCTACTATAACTACTGGCTACTAGTGCTAGTGGCTACTATAACTACTGGCTACTAGTGCTAGTGGCTACTATAACTACTGGCTACTAGTACTAGTGGCTACTATAACTACTGGCTACTAGTACTAGTGGCTACTATAACTACTGGCTACTAGTACTAGTGGCTACTAGTGCTAGTGGCTACTATAACTACTGGCTACTAGTACTAGTGGCTACTAGTGCTAGTGGCTACTATAACTACTGGCTACTAGTGCTAGTGGCTACTATAACTACTGGCTACTAGTGCTAGTGGCTACTAGTGCTAGTGGCTACTAGTACTAGTGGCTACTATAACTACTAGCTACTAGTACTAGTGGCTACTAGTGCTAGTGGCTACTATAACTACTGGCTACTAGTACTAGTGGCTACTAGTGCTAGTGGCTACTATAACTACTGGCTACTAGTACTAGTGGCTACTATAACTACTGGCTACTAGTACTAGTGGCTACTATAACTACTGGCTACTAGTGCTAGTGGCTACTAGTGCTAGTGGCTACTATAACTACTGGCTACTAGTGCTAGTGGCTACTAGTGCTAGTGGCTACTATAACTACTGGCTACTAGTACTAGTGGCTACTAGTACTAGTGGCTACTATAACTACTGGCTACTAGTACTAGTGGCTACTATAACTACTGGCTACTAGTACTAGTGGCTACTAGTGCTAGTGGCTACTATAACTACTGGCTACTAGTACTAGTGGCTACTATAACTACTGGCTACTAGTACTAGTGGCTACTAGTGCTAGTGGCTACTATAACTACTGGCTACTAGTACTAGTGGCTACTATAACTACTGGCTACTAGTACTAGTGGCTACTATAACTACTGGCTACTAGTGCTAGTGGCTACTAGTGCTAGTGGCTACTAGTGCTAGTGGCTTCTATAACTACTGGCTACTAGTACTAGTGGCTACTAGTGCTAGTGGCTACTATAACTACTGGCTACTAGTACTAGTGGCTACTATAACTACTGGCTACTAGTACTAGTGGCTACTATAACTACTGGCTACTAGTGCTAGTGGCTACTAGTGCTAGTGGCTACTATAACTACTGGCTACTAGTACTAGTGGCTACTAGTGCTAGTGGCTACTATAACTACTGGCTACTAGTACTAGTGGCTACTATAACTACTGGCTACTAGTGCTAGTGGCTACTAGTGCTAGTGGCTACTAGTGCTAGTGGCTACTAGTGCTAGTGGCTACTATAACTACTGGCTACTAGTGCTAGTGGCTACTAGTGCTAGTGGCTACTATAACTACTGGCTACTAGTGCTAGTGGCTACTATAACTACTGGCTACTAGTGCTAGTGGCTACTATAACTACTGGCTACTAGTGCTAGTGGCTACTATAACTACTGGCTACTAGTGTTAGTGGCTACTAGTGCTAGTGGCTACTAGTGCTAGTGGCTACTATAACTACTGGCTACTAGTGCTAGTGGCTACTATAACTACTGGCTACTAGTGCTAGTGGCTACTAGTGCTAGTGGCTACTAGTGCTAGTGGCTACTATAACTACTGGCTACTAGTGCTAGTGGCTACTAGTGCTAGTGGCTACTATAACTACTGGCTACTAGTGCTAGTGGCTACTATAACTACTGGCTACTAGTGCTAGTGGCTACTATAACTACTGGCTACTAGTGCTAGTGGCTACTAGTGCTAGTGGCTACTATAACTACTGGCTACTAGTGCTAGTGGCTACTATAACTACTGGCTACTAGTGCTAGTGGCTACTAGTGCTAGTGGCTACTATAACTACTGACTACTAGTGCTAGTGGCTACTATAACTACTGGCTACTAGTGCTAGTGGCTACTATAACTA